TCGAAGCGGCCCAGCGCCACCTCGAAGTTGTTTCTCATGATACCTCCTCACCATCCCCCCAAGAAGCAGTGGAGCGCTCCCACACACTGGCAGCGGAAATTGAGAGCCTAGAGGTCGAGTTACAGACTCTGGTCGCCACAATTGTGACACAAACTCGCCACAAGCATGTTGCTGCGTCTGCAGAAGCTCCACAAGCTACAACTGAGACGATCGATCTCATGGATGTAGAGACGGAGACAGAAGATGAAGCCGCACACGCGAATACCGAGCAAGAAGACGCTAAGCAGACTCGTAAGCCGCCTCCGACGCCCGAGGAAGTAGCGGCAAACCTCCAACACTTCGTGCTGAAGACGGGGGATGCTTCCGCCGCTCTGGATCGTGGTCAAAAATATAGAAAGGCTCAAGCTGCCATCGTACCGTGCCGTAAGGTGACGGAGAACCTTTTCCAGTTAATGGAGAGTAAAATTCCAATCGATGAAGCTAGCGCGTGTCTGTTCCGTGACACAGCCGGGAAAATGGCTACAATCTTCGCAGAAGGAGGTCGTGCTGGGAATAACCGTGATAACGTTATGTGCGTGGTCCACCTGGTTAGTAAACTAGGTAAAGTACTAGAGTTGGCTGATACCCTCACGGGGATCCCAGCAGCGTTGTCTGACGCCGTCTTGGGATCTACCCGTCTCAAACTCAAGAAATACGCCGAGAACCACTTGGAAGACCAGCTGACCAAAATGGAAAAGTATGTGCATACTATTCAACGACAAAAGGGCGCAGTGACGGCGGAGCGTATCGAAGGCCCGATGAAAAAGTTAATTGTCGACTTTCAGCAGGAAATGAACAAGTACAAAAATTACCAAAAGATCGACTTGCCTCCGAGGTCTGAAGAGCGTTGGGAAGTGTTTCAGAAAGTGGCAGAAGCTCTGGCAAAGTGGATCGGGTGCACAAAGATGACGGCATCACCGCCTAGGCAACTCAAGGGAATGCTTCGTGTGGCCAAGAAGTTTAACAAGGAGTTTCCCGACCGAGTTCCAATCATTTTGCTGAGGTACTGTAGATACGCTTTTTCAATTTCTGAATATTTTTTATTTTTAACTGTGTTCTTTGTGCTTTTTAGGAATGCTGGGATGAAGTTGCGTATATCTCAACAACAATACCGATCGACGAAAGAGAAAGCATCGGCGAAGTAAGGTTCTTAGATAACAAAGTTTTGGGTAGGTGCCACAATTTTGATACTCAATACATTTTCGGTCCACTCTTGGACTCTTGACATCCGAACTTTAGTTCACGTTGGTCGTTTACTTCACAAATACTACTGTAGTAGCTGTCGAGGTACGGAACGTCCACGAGCTTGAGCGAAGTGGAGCGCTGCGTCATAGCTAGAAAGGTGAAGCCATCGACATCCTCCTCGTAGTTTGTCGGGCTGGGACATTGAAGCTTTAGCGTTGGGTGGTGGATTATCATCTTTGCAGTGTATTTATTAATAGTAACCATTGGATACAACGCTAACATGATGGACGGCGTCCTCTTTTCAGGTCAATAGGATCCTGACTTCTCTGATAAACTGTGCGCTATGATGTTTTAAATTTACGAAAGCATTTAGACCCCATTTGGATAATTGCAATGATTTATATCGAGTACACAGCCAACTCACATAATAAATCTACTGTACATAGATCCGTATTATCTGTCAGTGACGGGCAAGAAAGGAAATTTGAATCGATTTTTGTTATTCCCTATTGCAGTTTACATTGCAGTTAGTGCAATTAAGTATTGCAATCCGCATGGACCATGTTTTTAATATAGCAATACTTCACTTCAACGTGCATGTAACTTTCGATATTTTTATAACGTCTTCCGCCTAAATGTATTATAGCAGGTGTAGCGTTGGCAGAGTAGTTGTGGCAAATCATCTCGCGGCATCTACTCCGGACCACGCTTCTACTTCATTCTCCAATCCGCTAAAACAGTCCTTACGCCTGTTAACCCTCGCCATCCTACTACAGATAGCCCTGTCAAAGCCCAAACTGCGCCGCGATGAAGGACGACAAATGCAGTGTAGCCAAGGCTATCAGATAGCCGCATGCTGATAAGCGAGGATAATAGCAACCATTTATGAAGATCAGTGCAGCAGTTGGGTACTGCAGGTTTCCCTCCAATTGGGTATTACAATATCTAGCCCTCATGCAATCTCTCCTTTTAATTGCAATACATATCCGGCGGATAGATCAATTTATTTTTTCCATTGCCTGGTGACGGGTAGCCCTATTACAGAGCTACCGGAGATATTCGAAGCTCCTGACATGTTTTACCTTGGTATTGGAAGCACACTTATCGACGAGACGAACGTATTGCCGATGCTATCATTTATCTACATCACCGCCACAAACATCATTCTTTTGGTATCCGCTAGGGGAGAGCAAGTTGGGAATGCCGCGTCCTCTACTAAATGGGTGGGTCAACATACTGCACAGAGCTACAAGCAATCACAAACGGTAATGCCACAAGTTTTAGCGTACCCCCATTACAAGAATACTCAATAATGCGGATGGATACATCCGACGAAAATCGAAACGTTGTGCTTCACTCAGTCAACTGCGAAATCGAACAGTGTAATACTCAAATCATAGTTAAGACGTTAAAACTTCTTTGTTGAGTTAGTGCAGAAATGAACATGAGCTTAGATGGTTCCAGATACGGCACCCGCGACCGTCGTTCCGGGTCCTTGCTGTGATTTTAGCCAGCAGGTGCCTCCGTTATAGTTCGACCAAGTGAACACCCTGCACCCCGTTCTTCCACGGCAAATATCGCAACATCCAGTCGCCGCAGCGCTGGGCGAGTTGCCGATGTCGTTGCCATTGTAGTCGACGTTATTCACCAACGTGCACGTAGGTGACGTCGAGCTGACTCGAGCTGACCTCGCTCCAGTCTTCGTCGTAAAGGCTCCCTTCCCACTCTTGAGCCAGCAGGTACCGGTATTGTGATCCGTCCAAGTGTACGCCTTGCAATCATTTCGAGCCCGGCAGATCGCGCAACAACCTTCGGCTGAGCCACTCAGTGCATTGCCGACGTCATTACCGGTATAGTCGACGTTTTCTTCGATCGTCGTACAGCTCGACGTAGGGCCACCATTCAACGTAGCAGATATAACACCACTCTTACTCTGTGTCGTGCCCCTCGCGCTTTTTAGCCAACACGTACCGCCGTTGTAATTGGTCCACGAGTACGC